GGAATGCGTTATTTCTCGATTCGTGATTGGCTGAAAATGACGCGAGCGCGCATTGTTTTCAAGTCGGTTTTTCAAGTCGCCAGCGCGCGCTCGCCCTGTTAGTCAAGAAAATCATCCTTTTCTCGCATAACCACACGTGTTTTCACACATTTTTGTTTTTAAAAAGGTGTAAATACCTTTTCTTAACTAAGTTGTGTGCTAAACCTCCTTCTTTTTTATCATTTTGATGCTCTAAAGCGGCAAAAACAAAACTGACCTAATTTGGATAATTTGCGACGGAAAAGCGTCGCAAATCCAGTCGATTCCTCCAGAGTCTTTCCGGCGTCAGCATACCGCTGACATTAGCCGTGAAGACTCTGGGCTCGAGATTGGTGGTGGTGACGTTTGGTTTGATTGGCCGCTGACAAGACACACCGCGGGAACGGAGGAAAACAAAATTGTATTAAAATTAAAAATGGCGGTCATTGCGAGCGATGCTGCTTCGATGCTTGCAGAAGCCCTTGAAAAAATGGACGGACTTATTTCAGACGATAAAATGATGATGGAAGGAATAAGAAGCCATACAGTGTCTCATTCACCCAATGAAAGAGTATTAGGGCTGGCAGAGGATTTACAAAATGCACTTACTACCGTCWCTCCGTCGAACCGTGCAAACCTCCGAATCCCCGTAACTACATCAGATTTTCTACTAGAATGGCTGAAATCACAATCGGTAGGGAGACTGATATCTGCAGTCTTTRAACGTTTACTCGATGAGRAGTATTTTTAATTTGTCTTTTTTTGTCCTAGTATCCGAGCAATAATAACCAGAAGTCYACGATCTTGAATAACACCAGTGACGAAATTAGTCGCGCTCAGATAGATCGTTTGGAAGACGAAAAAGATAGTCTAATTCTTCAGGTTAGCGTTTTAACTGACCAAGTTGAAGCCCAAGGAGAGAAAATACGCGAATTAGAGTTTACACTGGAGGAATCCAAAATTAAAGGCGAAGAAATGGAGCAAGAAATAGGATCCGTAAGTAAGCTTATAAGAATATTGATTGCTCTTTTCTGTGATGCACATTTCCGGTCTGCGTCAATAATCGAGTTCTTTTTGTACATCTATTGTAGTCACGATATTTTGTGACTAGTCTTGAATAAAATTACCCTTGAATTAAACCTCTTAGTGGTGTAATAGTATATTATTATCCTTTGATAATGAACGTTGATTAAACGTCCTTAGTTTAGAGAAACAAACACTCCAAAGATTGTCCAAATGCCTTTTTACATCTGTCAGACCAATCGTTCTTCTAATTGTCATAATATTTACGAATACTTTAGCTCTATTTAGTATTGAATAACACATCACGAAAATACATGATTGCATTCCTGAATCCAAAAAAGTGCGTAGTATTATCGKGGAAATATCTTAAAATATCGGTAAAATCCATTTTTGGCTTGCTGTCAACGCAGCGMTCGTTTGTAACACATGACTGCGCTAAATAATAAACTTGTTGAAACAGACATCAAACGATYCTTCGGTAAAATAGTTAATTAAATGCAATAAAAGTTTATGTATTGATTCTACTTTGAACAAAATTTCAGAATAGTAGCATAAAAATATATTTATAGTACACAGCAGCTCAAGCATGGCTATCATTCCTTTTGTAAATGAAGACTAGCAATATTGTATTAATTGGAAATTTTCACGTAAATTACTAGAGTGTACTAAAGTTTTATTGATATCAATTTTTATGCGATGATTATGATGTCAATCAATATATTTTTAATAATTTCTAATATTTAATATTAATAGATAATGATCAACAAATAATCAAATCCATGATTGATTGATAATATTCATAAAAATATGGATCCATATGATTGATTACTTTGCCAAGAATTGCAAAGGTGAAACATTTGGTTCATTTGCGATCCTGATTATTCAGTGAGACCAGCAAAAGCTATTATGGTTTTTCTTAATTCAGTCTTTTTACACAAATTCCATGATTTCTGCTTTCTTTGTTATCTAGGAAAGAACTAAATCTTCAGCGCTTGAGCAAGAAAAACAGGAACTGATYATAGAAAGGGATTTGCTAAAATCACAGATACAATGTCAATCCCTCACTGAGGTAGAATATAGTGCTGGTATTTTGTTCTTCTATATTCATTATCTGATCATTTATCCAAATTAAAACTAGTTTGAAGCCAAGTTAAGTGAGAAGGAATCAGAGATAGAGCTTTTGAAGGATCATATAGAAAATCTGCTTGACGAACAGGAAGCTTTACAAAGAACKTTGGGTGATGGTAAGCGAAACATGACTGATAATAATATTTGCTTTCAGTAAAATAAATGTTTTACCTCGTAATTTTGGTTTCTTTGACAGGTCATGCATCGTCAGGTTTGAGATCACAATTAAGGGAAAAAGGTAAATAGAAATACTACAGTTAATTTTGCTTATAACAATACAAATTATTACTTATAACTTCATTATATCTTCCCATTTATATGATGATTAAATTATACATGGAAATGGTCTATTTCATTGAAAAAACAATGCCTTCTCATCTTTAACTTGATATTTTCCAATTACTATATTTTATATATTATTATATTATCTATATATTGTAGCATCAGAGGTCAATAAGCTCAAGTTACAAGTTGATACCCTATCAGCAGTCATTGAAGATAAGGATAAAAAGCTAAAAGACCTTCAGGGAGCAGTGTCAAAGTTTAAAAGGGTGAGGGAATAAGAACTTTGAGGATGAAACTTTGCAGTTTTTCTATTTTTGGCATTTCAATTTAATTCAACTTTGAATTCCATTTTTTGAATATCTGAATGTATTTAATTTTTGAAGTCATTTCAATTTAATTCAACTTTGAATTCCATTTTTTGAATATCTGAATGTATTTAATGTTTGAATTCAGTCTGGTGAGGAATAACATATAAAATGTGTATGTACTCTAAAGGTAGAAGACTTGGTTGTTCGTGCTCATCAGAGGATAGGTTCTGACGCAAGTCAATCTGCAGAACTTTCAATTCCTGACTCAAATAGTGTTCACAGTTCAGAAGGGATAATATCCCCTGCYYCATTAAGRACTGCATCAGATTCAACACACAGTTTTACACCAACAACTCCTGCACAGCTACATACAGGTGTGTCTTGTAATAAATAATACCTAAATTAATGTTKTTTTGCAGTATTRAAGTCAATTTTGTCCATACTTTGTCAGTGGTTATTTCATTCTTTACATTACTTTAGACTGACACCCAAAACACTACAAAATTCTCACTACTTCTCATCACTTGAAGACTATTAAATGCTGTTTGCAAAACTGAATTTACAAGGGCAAGATTATGCTCTATCTTAGCTAGCATATGTTGTTTTTAATTTTTTTTTTGAGGAGTAGTTTTCACTTTYTTATTATTATTATTATTTTTAGAATCATACACAAAAGCAGTCCATGATCCAGTAACACCAAGCCTTGATGCCATCAAAAGCCCTCATCCAGCAGGAAGACGATCGTTRGGCAAAGGATTCTTTAAGATCAAAGGACCAAAGAGTTCCAGCGAACCTAATATATGTAAATAGAACTATGAGATATTTACTAAAAATGATTAAAGTTGGGTCTTTCTTGTAATAAAGTTATTTTCAATTTTTTGTAGTGCATACTGAAAGCTCAACAGAAGAAGTCAATGGTATACCTGTCAATCATCAGGTAGGAAGGATTCATAGAAAATGTGGTTGTTTTTTAACTTATTATTATTATTATAATTATTTTTCAACTTATTGTTGTTATGTTAGACCGAACCAGTTCAACAACCACAAAATAACTTGCCTTCTCCTGAAAGAAATAAACTCAGAAAGTCATTTGGTAAAGGAATATTTGGAAAGTATGTATTCATATTTTCAGTTTTTTAGTATATTTCTTGAATTTCTTAACATTATTATAAGTTGTTCAAGTCTGCTCAAAGTGCTGTTAACAAAATAATCATAATGATAAAGTAATAACTATAAGGAAAAGTCATTTTTATATCTAGTTTGCTCAATCAACCATGAATAATTTTAAAACTTTATTCCAAGCTTTCGACCTAAGCGGTCATCTTCAGGGAACACAAAGACGTTTCACACAAAGTCATTTTATCTGACCTGCCATCTAATATTTTTCAATGATTTTCTAGGATACGCCGAACAAAGTCGCTAAGCGACAACCAGGCAAATTGTGTGAATATGGCTCCTTTGGACATGAGGAACTTCAAGAAAGAAGACCGACAAGAATATGGGTGATTTGATTAATATGTCTTTTTTAGAATGTTCTTACATGTACTACATTTATTATCATGCTTGTTCATATGTCCTCCATAGAAATTATATKCAAGTTTAGTCAATTGAAATGATTTAAAAAAATGAGTAGATTAATTTATCTTTTAAAATCTTTAACAATATAAATATTCTTATGATAGGTTCTATATTTTCCAAGTAGCRGCATAAAAAGGTTGCATKTTTGRWGGACACAGGGGAAATKTTCTGTTGCTTATTGGAGCYAATGAGCAACGCYAGATTACCCCCCGTTCCTAGCACTATTATAGGTTGATGTTTTCAAGGTGTTGCAAAACAATTCATGAAATTTTAAAATGTATTGTAGTTTAATGTCAACAAAAGAGAGAAAGATACAGTAATGAACTTAACTTTTCCATTGAATTCAGAGATGGCTCAGCAAATAATATTGTGCATTTTTTATTGATTTATTTTACAGAGATCAACTTGAARTACCTTTTGCTAACTGGTCAACTGAGATGATTATGAATTGGCTTGATGATCTT